ACCAACCTTTGTGTGTGTGCTGTTCAACGCCGCACCCAATAATGCCTCGCAATTGTAAAAACGAATGAGAGTAAAATCGGCTTGGATCAGGCCAAATAGTTATGCAGACAATTTGACTCAACCAGGCGTGTAATGGTTCCATGGTCCATGATTCGAAGAACGACATGAGAGATTAGATTCGAGCCAATTTTGTATTGCAAATTCGCACATTAATACTGCAGTTAAATCCGTTCACTAATCGCTTAAAAAATACTGTAGGCAGATCTCACAGTCACAGCAACACAGATTTCTTACTTTGGGTTTGTACGTTCTGGCACTGTCACTGATGCTGATAGAATATGAACACCATTACATATTGGAACTTCACAAAACATCCCATCGCACACATGTCGCACGCGGACCAAGCACATGGTCGACAAGGGAGATAACTCTAATGAATTGAACTGACAACTGCTAAGAAAACTCGACATTACAAGGAGTGAAGAGGAGTACCATGTTAAACTTATATCTGTTCAGTAGAAATTATTGTATTCCTTATCATTGTTGTCGTTACATGACTCGACACAAATTCTCAGAACAGATGATTGAAACAATACCAATTCATAAATGAGTCATAATTGTAAAGAAATATGTGTACGTGTAAACAAAGTTACCTCTTTTTGTTTTGACCAGCAAGAAGTTATTTGTAGATGGTTTCGCACTTGAACGTGCATCTGTTATACAGAAGCGTAGCAACACTTAACCACAATAAAATTGTAGGCAAGACGACTGAAAACAAGTATTGATATTCTGCTGCATCTGATGTCACTGGGTGAAATAGTAAGTTATATCATTGAAATTGAAATCAGGGTGTGTGTGTTTACCGCTGCATCGTGCAATGTTAAGCTATACGACAGTGGTTTATTGATAATCCGGCTCCAACAATCCTGTGATTCATCGATCTACGCAATCTGGATGAAATGCATCAACCAAGTTATTCTGTCAGTCGCCTCTTTGGATTATGAAGACCAATTATAACCCGGTTCTTCACGGGTCAGAAAACCAGTGATGGCGGCAGGTTGTATAATGCTGGAAGTGAAGAGGATGCTGGCTGTTGGAAATCTGCTGTCATTCTTCGTATCCCAGAGAGAGGTTCAGTCTCTGATAACCCCTTTGTATAGATGTAAATAAGAAACAGACGAGGCAGTCTCATCGTCCTCCTTATTCATAGCTCAAGTGGGTAAGTCTTCAGGACATTGGCTCTTTGACCTTTACTGAAAGATATCAGATCAACGATGTAACTTAAACTAAGTAAAGCAATGATTTGATTTTTGAATACAGTCTTGTGGATTTTTTGTGAGTGAGTTAAAATTTAACGTCACATCGGCAATATTGCAGCCATATCGTGACGAGAACAGTTTATATCAATATTCAAATCAATAAATGTATAACGTAAAAACCTGTCATCGAAGGACAGTAAAAATACTAGAGTATCACAGCTATATAAATTAAAAACTAGTACGCTAACGTAAAATTGAATCACTACAGACAGTACAAAATAAAAACGGGGTATAGATCACCAACAACCGAAGGAAGATCACCATACTAGGGACCATTGGGACTTACAGTACCTTTGGTACCTGCATGGACCCTAGCTGGATTTACACCATCCCTTCAACCATTGGTGATGTGGATATTTTGTAGTCAGTCAGAATCTTGTTCATAGATCTAAACATCCAACTGCTGAGGTGGTATTACTGGTTCGTTTTCATTCCAGTTCAGTTTGTAAATCAGTGGAAAGAAAGCGTGCATTCCGTAATGGATATTTCTGAAGCTTCAGTTAACTTTTGGCCCAATTCTCTTTTTGGCTTCACCAGAATCATAATTATAAGAAAAGAGGAGTACAGTTGGTGCCCATCGGACGCCTATTTCGTGCCTAAGTGTCGTATCATTGAATTCCAAATGTTATCTATGAGGAAGTTCAAGATTTTACATAATTATTGCTTTCCGGAGACCAATTGCTCTCTGTACTCAGATATAAGGAACTTTCTAAGGATCAACCAGTCCTCTGAAAGGCATTACTGGTCAGTAAAATGAAGCAACAAAACACTTTCTATATTCATGAGGAACCTCTACTAAAATACTTATACATATTGGTGAAGGTGAAAATAGGGAGCCACATAGGAAAGCAACATTCAAACTAATGCTCCAGATTTGAAAAGGCCCTCGATATGCCTACCATAGACCATTTAATCAAGTTAATGTTCTTCGATATAACCTTACTGTGTGTCGCCGCCAAGGACGTATAACTCACCTCTCGTATAGAAGGTTTTTCTCAGCATTTGTCGCAAACACACGAAGCTTGGGTGAGATGGAATAAGATGTCTCGGCAGTGTTCTTGAGGCACAAATCTGCAATAATAAGATTTAGGATATAAACAAAGTGAATATGCATCAAGTTCACGGATACACTTCTGTACACGTCAGCTAGAAAGTAGTGAGTGACTTTAGTTTCACCCCGCACTCAGTAATATTCCAGATATATGGCGGCGGTTTGTAAATAATCGAGTCTGGACCAGACAATCCAGTGATCAACAACATGAGCATCGAACTGCGCAATTGGGAACTGATCAGCTAGAAAGTAACACACTAAGATGCAAGTATCTTTTGATCTGTCTTTTCACACAGTCAAATAATATTTGAACCCCAACGTAGTGAAGCATCCCTTTTACTGTAGGGACCTATCCCAACCTCACATCAAATTGTTTGTTTCATCGATTTTCATGGTCCTTTCACCCTCGAAACACTTTATTAACACACACATGTTATGTTTATTTAGAAAAAAACAATAATATTATTTCACACTAATGTATTACACGTCCATTAGAATTCCTAGCTAGACTATATCCCCAGCAAACGTGTACGAGACAGCGTCATTGTGGCCAGGGTCACTGTCTTGGTTTATTGCGTGGAAGTGGACAGGTGCTCGCCTAAAACACACCACTGGCATAAAGTCGTGATCAAATATACTACAAAATTAACGCATAGCAAGTTATATGTTAAAAAGGACACGGCAGTTTAAACAAGTTTCGATAAGGAAAACCTGACATACTTCAGCTTCTATAACGTTTATATGTTGTTATTGCTTAAGGCATTAATATAAATTAAGTAAAGCAAAGAATATTTTGTTAATAACTAAAGGATAAAACGTAGCGTGTATTTCGTCAGTTTTCGGTACCACTACTTCTGCCGATCTGTCTTTAAAGCATATAAAATACCCGTATGCATGGTTTGATAAAAGATCTGAGGAAAGTAACTTTACGACAGAACATCGTACACCGTTAGTGCGCCTAAAGCACGCAGATAAAGTTTCATTGCGTACAAACGTGTCAGTTGTCTATAAAGCATGCTGTCAACTGAAACTCGACATACAAATATGAAATCTTATATCTTTAATTTCTCAAAGTACGTAGATGTACGTCAGTCATATCACGTGTGCTTCCAAACAAAGCACAGCACTGGATAACTTATCACGACTGTTCTTGCAGTCTACAAGTGTCACGTACATAATGACTTCAATAACGACCCACCTCGAGTTGAAAGCAAATGTTATCTTGATTTATTGATAGAAGTTAAGATTGTTTTGTTTACCAAGGCAAATTTACAGTATAAAGGTGACGAACAGGCCAATATATGCAAAAATACAAACACTTTCAAGGGACCAAGATCGTGGCGAAATGATCATACTCAAGCTAGGAGTTCTGTTTGTATTCGTATCTGGTAAGACCTACTTGGGTAGCTGAGTTCGCGCATATGACATATGTAACCGGTTTTAGTATCACAATATGATCACGGGTACGAATATTTCATTCTTGTCTGAGTCCATCTTGTAGAGAACAGAAACTGCCACAACACCCAACACGACATGGGTCGTTGTTCATGCTGTCGCCCTCAGATTTGCATGAACTGCTGGCCACAACAAAGTAGATTTTTCAGCTTATTGTGAATTGTGAATGTACAGCGCACACGTAGAGCGTTGGTCACGATATCAACTCCTGCAATGGCCGGTCAAGACTCCATTATTTACATGCCGAATAGCTGCCCTGGTCTAAGAGGGTCTAAAGATGTATCTTTGTATATTTCGCTATATTTTCATTGATACTGACCTTTGCATTTTGACTGATCCCGAAATATCTCATATATTCCAAGAAGGTTCTTTTCGGAAAAATTACTCGAAAGATATCAAACGAATCAAGCAATGTTTTCCTGATGGGTCTACAAACCATAAAGCCTAAACCTTAAAACTATTAGAAAGGATTGTTCTTCATATTTGGTTGAACTATTTGGCCAAACTCTTGTTCTTCATATTTGGTTGAACTATTTGGCCAAACTCTTGTTGATATTTGGTTGAAATACTAACTCATAATAACTACAGGATGTACCTTAATGTAAAAATTGGAAGCAAGAACATTCTTACCTTTCCCATAATTTCCCATAATATTACACATTCCAGGAGCCACCAACGCTTCCATTTATAGGGAAGTTACAGGGATGCCTTACAGAACGTGAACCAGGTAGACTGTAGAGTACATTCCACTTATTGTGTCTTACAAAGGCTCATGATATTGCAGCCAACATATTGGTCAGATAATCACAAGTAAATTCTTCATTGTAGTTGCTAACAAGTCTTCATCTATTCGAATGCAGCCCAAAATATCGGCTGTAGTCTGCTCTGTACCGTTTGAAAATCATAACTGACGTTGTCGAAACATGTTAAAAGAACAATTTAACATCAACACAGTGGTTACTAAGTTACTAGTTTGAACTAGTATCTCCACTCTCAAAAAAAGCCCTGAGATTTTAGACAGCAACTTGACCTGGTCAGGACATATCAGAGATCATTGGTCATCAATGAGTATATATGTAACATTTAGCTCCAAAACATTGCAAAATACTTAAGAAAATTAACAACACAACGTCAAACCGAGCTTAACTTGACTTCGAAGATCCGAAGAAGTTTTCAGATTGCATGTCAAAATACAGGTTTTGGATCAGCGTATTGCAATTACGTATCGTTTACATGTCTGAGCCGGTAAATACCAGGTAAACAGGTTATATTGCACAGCCCTGATAAACACCAAGCAAGTGTTATGTCTTCACCATATCTGCCGTAACTGTACATGTTATAGGTTTGCTGGCATTATATTGGAGTTAACATTGTACAGCCGTCAGAATAAAATGGTAAGGTAAACAGGTGCCACTGGCGGGGCAGGATACATTTTGGTATTGTGATTGATACAAACATGATGTTATGTGTCGATTAACATGTCTAAATAATGAACAAATCCTGAAGTCTACGCTTGCAAATCAATATTACTTACTACACTGTTATTACGATGGCATTTTATAATACAATGGCAGTACAAGCAATTCCATAGCAGTACAGTTACAACGGTTGTACAAATTTCAAAGGCAGTCAGAAACACATGCGGGAAAGTACAATTACACAAGCAGAGCAAAAAAATGAAAATAAATAAAACATAGAAAGCATGGCAGTACATAATAACAAGTCAGTGTAAACAATCCCATGGCAGTACGATTAAAATGACACTACATAATGAAAAGCAGTACAATAAGAATCGATGGCAGTGCAGTTATAATCGCAGAACATAAGAAAAATCTCCTTGACAACTCAATATTGGAAGACACAATGTTATGAGCTGCCGAAGTTAAAGAAACAATGTAATGCATTTACAGTATTGTTGATATATAACATATGCAACTGAACCAGTTTTTATCTTTTACTTTACACCAGACAGATGTGTACAAGGCATCTCGCTGGAGACATACGATGGAGCGGTGGCATCTGTAACACATTCCCTCCTATTCTTGAACAACCAGTCAGATTATTTCTTCTTCGAGGTAAAGTCATGCGGAGAGGTAAACGTAACGTTGCTCGATGAATACGCGATCAGTTCCGTTAAGGTGGCGTTTTCACCGAATGACGAGTCCTTGCCGTACGAGTGCTCTCTGAGCCATTGCGAAAAGAGAGGGGTGGATTTCGCAACAGCTGACTACTGCTCCGGATTTAAAGCATTCTGGGCATATAGAAGACGGAAAGATCCTACTGCGATTCCTGAAATATATTTTGGGGAAGGCTGCACCGTTGGGAAAGAGAATCTTACGAGCTATTATGTAAATTGGATGCAGAGCATGTACACCGACCCACCGTTCTACAAGATGGAACTAACTACCACTGAAAGAGCGACGTGGAAGCTGGGTGAGTCAATCGATAAATATCTACAATACTTTGTGTTTCGGATTAGAACTGGTTCTACCAAACTGTAAGAGGCGACTAAAGGACAGTGTGGTCGGTCTGTGTCACGTGGTTCATAGTGTATCATTGTACCCCTCAATGATATCATTGATCACATCACTCACTGACTGACTGACTGAGTTTGGTTTTACGCCGCTTTTAGCAATATTCCAGCAACATCACGGCGAGGGACACCAGAAATGGGCTTCACACATTGTACCCATGTGGGGATTCGAACCCGGGTCTTCGGCGTGACGAGCCAACGCTTTGACCACTAGGCTACCCCACCGCCCCTATCACTCACTGAACTGGGCAATATATCATACAACATCCCGCCAGATAATGCTGTATAATGCATGGTATCGAAGTTGTTTCATCCCAACACGCATGTCATTTAGAAGCCTCCTGAATGGTGCGCATCATCTCATTGTGGATACAAAATTTCCGTTTCAGGAACAAAATTATATTTTGCGCAAGCATGAGGGTAGAATACACTTAGCACAATGTTAGTCGGGTTGTACTCACTGATAGTCTTCTGATATTCAGAAATTAATTTAGGAGGGGGCCGGGGAAACATTTGGATAAGACACTGGAATTCGCTTACAGAGTTGCGTCCCTTGATCAGATCATCGTGTGCGTACATTTGTTCTGATCACAGTTTCTCAGCCCTGTATATGTGTTCGTGGGTTGCAATTCCCTAATTTGACTCATATCATACGTTCAGGAATTATTTCAGGTGAACAATTGACTAGACTTAGCATATGTTTATGACGGGTGCCACCAGTGGGGCAGGATACGCTCACCTTTTCGCGATCACCTGGTATCATCACTATATCATAGTGATTCATAATCACATGCTCCATCATGGTATCGCAATCGCTGAATAGTCTGGTCTAGACGCGATTTGTTTACGAACAACATTATACAGCTGTAAAGTTGCTGAAACAAATATACTGGACAAAAATAGTTAGGGATGTATGTAAATTTTGAAACTATGAATAATGATCTATTTATTCATCGTCACGTTGATGAAATATCAATCATAGAAATACCAATATCCCTAACATATTTTGTCCAGTATATATGCTCATGATATAGTCACAATTGTACAATCGAGATTTCTTATGAATGTGGAAAGGGTTTTGTCGCTTATATTTACAACAATCCAGTAAACATCCACCATGAGCATCGGTCCACAAAACTGGGAAACGTTCACAAGACAAACACAGTCACCGAGCCTGACCACTCGATCCCTTTTGTCGCATCTATCAATGACGTGAACAATGTAATAAAAAAGCGCCGAAAAACTCACTCACTGCCTTTTAAACAGGGGATGTGATTCTTTTTGTTTGTTTTATTTTGTTTGGAAAAGTACTCATTAACACTTCATGCACCTGTACGTCATTACACGTACATTTGACATACGCGTACGTTAATTCCTCGACAAAATTGGCTACCACGATTCTAATACGCTTATTGTTCATGGCGACGTAGTAGACGTCGGTGGTCAGGCTTTGTGACTGGTGTGCTAGCGTGTTATCGTACCGCGAGAGCGTGGAGTGTTTGTCAAAATATCAATCACTGGATCATCTTGACCAGACTATGATTTAAAGGCTTCTTTTTGTATCTGGAACTGAAACAAACATTTCTCATGTAGCATGTAACAAAATCACAAATGCCAGCGTTATAATTTTAGGGAAATCCGTTTGCCAGCCAGACACTACGACAAAGGCACCAACAACTACTACAACATCTCTAGTTCAGTGTCCTTCTGGCAGGAATGAAGGGTCATCAACTTCCATGCTGTCGATGACGACGATCTTTCTGATCGTCATGTCCGCAAGCCTCTAGGATCCTTGGTTAGCAAGTGTTTCACCGGACACCACTTACCAACAGTCATCATTTGGATGGTTTCCTTGACAGCGACGTCTCTGACCTTCATGTCTGCAACCCTCTAGGATCCGCGGTTAGCTAGAAGGTGTCCTTCCTTTAGCACTCATCAACATCTGAGTCGGATTTGGTCAGCTCAGCCGCATATTTGAACATCCCGAGTCAACCTGAAAAGAAATGTTTGGTCCCAGTTTCTAGTATAACAAGTTTATTTTCCAATTTGTTTTCGTTACTTCTAAGCATCGGAATCTCTGTACTTTGGCACCAGCAGCAATTCCAAAATATCTAACTGGATTCATAGATCACTTGATTGTCTAGTTTGTTTACAGGCCACTGTTGCATGGCAAGAGTGTTGCTGTGAAGCGTCAGACACAAAATACTTCCATTTTAGGCAAATTTTGTGAAAGGCAGGTGCTACCGGCAGGACATGGTTACCCTTTTCGCAAACACCCGGTGTCATCACTGATTTTCAGTGTTCTATTCATTATACATTTGCAACCATTTTTCCCTTAGCACCAAACAGAATTTGTTTCTGACGATAGTCAAGAGTTGGTATTCTTTTGCACTGACGTTCTCTATATACCCAAAAGGATTGGAAGATAACATTCTTCTCATTCTTAACACGTTGAGAATATTTTACTTTTTATGTTTCCTTTTATCACAAGACATTGTGGTATTTTCCGATGCTATTTTCGAAAGATCATCGTAATATCTTTTGATAAACAAAAATGATACATTGAATAAATAATTTGTGAGTGTATATTTCTTAAAATGTGTCCCTGATAATAAATAAACGTCGCCTGTTGCCCACAATCGGCATACTTTCTTCTTAGATTGTGTGCTATTTATTCATATTTCAATGAAACGTGCCAGTGGTAAAACATTATTGTACAACGTATCGTATGTTGTGAGTGAGTGAGTATGGTTTTACGCCGCTTGTAGCAATATTCCAGCAATATCACAGCGAGAAACACCAGAAATGGGCTCCACACATACTACCCATGTGTATACAAGGATGCACAGCCCAACATTAGGTATTACAAAACCGTATACAAGGATGCACACCCCAATATTAGGTATTACAGAACGGTATACAAGGATGCACACCCAAACATTAGGTATTACAGAACCGTATAGAATGATGCATGCCAAAACATTAGATATTACAGATATTACAGAACCGTATAAATGATGCACACCCCAGCATTATGTAATACAGAACAATATAAATGTATAACTATATACGTAAATGTTCTAACTATAAATATAACTATACACAGCTATATTATCACCTGTTAAGGTGAACATAACTACATGTATATGTCACAATGTTATCTCGTGTTAAGGTGGACATAACTATATGTCACAATGTTATCTCGTGTTAAGGTGGACATAACTATATGTCACAATGTTATCTCGTGTTAAGGTGGACATCACAATATGTCACAATGTTATCTCGTGTTAAGGTGGACATAACTATATGTCACAATGTTATCTCGTGTTAAGGTGGACATAACTATATGTCACAATGTTATCTCGTGTTAAGGTGGACATCACTATATGTCACAATGTTATCTCGTGTTAACGTGGACATAACTATATGTCACAATGTTATCTCGTGTTAAGGTGGACATCACTATATGTCACAATGTTATCTCGTGTTAAGGTGGACATCACAATATGTCACAATGTCATCTCGTGTTAAGGTGGACATCACAATATATCACAATGTTATCTCCTGTTAAGGTGGACATCACAATATATCACAATGTTATCTCGTGTTAAGGTGGACATCACAATATATCACAATGTTATCTCGTGTTAAGGTGGACATCACTATATGTCACAATGTTATCTCGTGTTAAGGTGTACATCACTATATGTCACAATGTTATCTCGTGTTAAGGTGGACATAACTATATGTCACAATGTTATCAATGTTAAGGTGGACATCATCTATGTTACCCGGTTGGTTGTTCCATCATCTTTACCGCCGGTTAACTCCTAACGGCCGGTTAAATCCTTAGGTAACCGAACGTTAAATATGCGTTGTTCAAAACATGGTTAGTCATGCCGTTAGCTAACGTCGCCGTCAAAGTTTAACAGTGTGGTTAATGTCACTAGTTAGCTTCCATATATCCCATAGTTCCGTTTTCTGTTTACTTCCCGTTTACCAAAAATGGAAATTCAAAATGTCGCCTGCACCCCAAGGAAAAAGAGAAGTCGAAATTTCTCTGCTCTCGAAGAGAATGTAATCCAGTCAATGGTTGAGGCCAACTCTATAGTTTATCATAGGCATGCGAATTCGTAGCGCTACGAACGTTTTATATTGGAACACAAGGTTCCAGCCGTTTGCATAATTTATATTTCAAAGACATATGATCCCAGCTCTGTGTAGAACTTACTTCAATTCCAGCAACAGAAAAGACATTTTAATGAAAAACTGTAGCACAGATAAAATATGATGAATCCATGAAAAGAATATTAATATTAGAAGCATGTTGTCCGTGGATAGAAAATGTATAAATATTACACACAGAGTTACGCTTAATGAATCTTTGAATTCCCACAAAACCTATCGCTCACTTTTCACTCCTTAAATTGTCATGACTGTATGGCCAAGTCGTGAAGATGCTATCAATATCATTTATTATTTATTTGAAAAGTCTGTCAAAATTTGTAATGTATGAACACACATTGCCAAATCTTTTAACATCAAACAATATAGATGTTGTGAAATTAATACCATAGCTTTTATCTGAAATATGCATTCAATGCCAATAGAAACTTAATATGTTACTAGCACCACGTGGTCCCTGTCTGACGCTCGGCATTAATGGGTACAACAAGGACCGGTCGGCTCGGAGTCAGTATAATGTGTCTGAGTGAGGTATTCATGCTTCACTGCGGTATGGTATCTCAGTGAGCTAGCACTATAAAACCAAATTAAGTTTTGGCTAGTACAAGCAGCCGCACATACACACGCATGTACGTCGTCATATGAACGAAATATTCTCAAGCACGACGTTAAACCCAATTTCACCTCACTGCTGAATAAGATCGATCTATTATCCGACCTTACTGTTGGAATCTCATGAATAATACTGTGCAATATCGTCATTATCTGAACGCCTTCACAGACGCATATTTCGGAATGATTCTTGAAAAACATGAAGCTGCGTCTAATTGATCGATGAACATATTTTCCTCGATACTAATTAATCAGATGAACCTTTATTTAGTTCAATTCACAAGTGACTGCAGAAAATGCATAATTCTTTTTAATGACTTCACGGTCGGAAAACATATATTATATTTCATAAGTGTATTATAGAACGCTGTAGTAGATGAACATAATTTTCCTCGATACTCATTAATCTGGTGAACCTCCATTTAATGCATAGATAGTTCTTTTCAATGTCTTCAAGGACGGAAAACATGTATTATATTTCATAAGTGTATTATAGAACGCTGCAACAATTCGGCAGAGAAATCCTATTGTGCCATAGTATTCCTTATATGAACCTATCAGTGTATAACATTAGCATTTAGATATTGTTATAAAATAAGTTAAAAATTCCAAATATTATTGTGTAACATGACAAGAGATAGTGTTGTGTTCGCTGTGACAAAAAGGTTTCGATATTCAAATATAACATTAAGCAAAGTGACTACGAAGTAGGCCTGCATATCACTCACAACAGAAACAGATACATAATAATGTTTTGTTTATTTTCCTACACATCAGTTGCGAGAGCAATGTTTATGCTAACTAAGTTTTCATCAATTAATACAGCATTTTTAAAAGATGATTTGCTTCAATTAAAACATTCGAAGAATGAAAAAGAAATTAGGCCTATTGCTGAAATGATTAGTAAAAATATAATTAAAATCCATCTATGGGAAGGGATGCCAGACGGACATTTCAAAACAAAATCCGATAATTACTTGGAGTATAGACTTTCAAAAATAGCATGTTAATTAACAATGATATTAGTTTTTAATAAAATCACTTATAATTCTGAAACGTTGCCTGTAAGCCTGGAGTCGTGTTCAGATGTTTTCATAAATACACTCACACGAACGCCCAAGTGCACTTTGCGCCCTATAGGAGAGTGTTTACAAAATCGAAGGCCGGTATTGAAACGCCAATTACATCACTTATATTTCATATTCAGCGGCGACAAATGAATCACTGCATTCTAAGGCTGGGACGGGTACTCGGGTACTCGAATCCGGATCGGGTACAGCTGGAATCGAGTCTTTTTTCTAGGAATCGAGTATCCGGAAAGGGAGAGAGCTGTGTAGTGACAAGGGCAGACAATAGCTTGTCTTTTTCATTTTTGCATAACACACGTTTACATCATTGAGTAAGTGAGTGAGTTTAGTTTTACGCCGCGCTCAGCAATATTCCAGCTATATTGCGGCGGTCTGTAAATAATCAAGTCTGGACCAGACAATCCAGTGATCAACAACATGAGCATCGATCTGCGCAATTGGGAACCGATGACATGTGTCAACCAAGTCAGCGAGTCTGACCACCCGATCCCTTTAGTCGCCTCTTACGACAAGCATGGGTTACTGAAGATCCATATTCTAACCCGGAAATTCACAGGTTTTTACATCATTGGTATTGTCCGATTAATGGAGCATAGTTTTAATGACTATGACTTATTTATCTGTGCATGAGCAGTGAGTAAGTTAAGTTACAGTAGCAGCAGGAACAAAACGTTCGTTGTTATAACGAGGAATGTAAGTAATGGTGTTACTCACTATATTGGTTAAACAGGCGTAAATTAAATAGCTTGAGGTCAGTTTTAATGTCTTATTACCAACTGTTCAAGTTTTCTATAATAATCTCTGTCAAATCGTGATTGAATATTCAGAAAGTTGACCCGAACGTATTTCTTACATTTCCGGGTACTCGATTCCGATTCGGGTACGTACATGCGGGTACTCCTACTCGTCCCAGCCCTACTGAATTCCTCATACATTTTAGAATCTAATTACAACTGGTCTTTGTCACCAATACCAAGTGTCTAGATAAAGTGAAACGAAAGATATTGGGGGTGGAAACAAATGCTGTGCTCGAAAGACAACACCTGTTTGAAATGTAAACAAAGAAAATTTCAGACTTTACACTGTGTAGCATTTTCTCAAATTTTCAGACACCCATTGGCATGGAAAGAGCATAGTAGCAAGAAATAGGAAATTAAAGATAGATACACTACAGGAATGTGATGTGTTTACACGAAACTGTCAAGTTTCTGTCCTGCGTGATGCCATGACTGACGCAAAATCACGCAGAACGACAACGGTAATAATCGGCATTTCTGGCTTCTTCTCTTTCTTAAAATGGGAGTGTATTTGGCAATTTCTCTGAGGTGAAGGTTGGTAGAATAAGAGTAGACACAATCACCATATCCCGCCGATTACACTTTCAGTATCATAATGTAATCGTTCGGATATATTTTCATGAAACTAATTTAATTATCTACATGTAGCCTTGTTCAATATCATATCATACGTGGGTATAGGGTGTACGTGTTATATTCTTTGAAAGTGTTTGTTTGAATAATATTTACAGAAGAAATTCACACATTTAGTGTAGTAAAGCATATATAAACCTTTCCACAAGTGTCAAAAGATGACACGTAGGCATCATGTACTTGTACAATATGTATTTTAGTTCCTATGATGTGCATAGTTACAGTTTCGTATGTAACTCTTCGTTAGAATAATTTCCAATATCGAAGTCCAGTCCACGATACACCCTATCCTTTCTTTGCTGAACTGGCATCACGAAAGCAGTGTTAGCCATGAACGCCATTTGCGAGTTAACCACAACCGGCGGTCCTTAGGTGTGTTAGCTTAACGTCATGTAACAGCCTGTTAAAAGTTAACAGTGTTTTGAACAACAAGATAACCCTCTGTTATTAGGTAACAGTCGGTTAAATGTACTTAACGGCTGGTTAAAAGATAATCGAGAAGATAACCGAGAACCGAGTTGAACAACCGGGCCAAGTAGATTTTGTACAATGTAATGACAATGTTGTGACGCCATGAACCTGATGACGTCACAATGCTATGACATCGCTGCACTGCAAGTCGGACAAGCCTCGGATATTTGTAACTTTGATATCGGAACATACTTGGTTGAGATTCTCTACATACCACAAAGTTATCTCGTGTTACGGTGGACATAAGTATATGTACCAGTGGTAGCCCAGTGGTTAAAGCGTTGGCTGTGCATCGTCAAACTCTTTGCGAAACCGAAGACCCGGGTTCGAATCCCCACATGGGTACAATTTGTGAAGCCCATTTCTGGCGTCCCCCGCCGTGATGTTGCTGGAATATTGCTAAAAGCGGCGTAAACCCAAATTCAGTCAGTCAGTCTATTTATGCTAATATGTGCTTTACACCATACAAATTTTCCTTGGTCCAAAATATAGCATGGGTTCCTGCGTGTCGATAACAGTTGTAACACCAATGCGTATTCATGCTTCTGGATGGATGGTGATTATTTACAGTCTTCTGTCACATGTCTGGAATATTGCATTCAACAACAAACAAACCCTTCAACAGAGACGTAAAGCGCCCAGCTAGATAACTCCTCGATGACGTGCGTGGACCGTTAACAGTGACCTGACTTATGCCCACTCTTGTGTAAGAGTGAAACTAATTCTATGATCGAACGCCACTGATTGGGGAGTCACACATCATTCACTCATTACACCGTACATCAATATTTTCAATAAGCGTGACAGAGTCATTTGAATATTTTAAAGAAATCTCGACTAGAAGCAGAGTCGATAGTGCGATTCTGACAAAATCACGAGCATGTGTTTATGCTGACTGACTGACTGAGTTTGGTTTTACGCCGCTTTTAGCAATATTCCAGCAACATCACGGCGGGGGACACCAGAAATGGGCTTCACACATTGTACCCATGTGGGGATTCGAACCCGGGTCTTCGGCATGGCGAGCCAACGCTTTAACCACTAGGCTACCCCACCGCCCCCATGTGTTTATGAAGTACTGTTAAATAGTTTTAAAACAAGGCGTTCGCAATAAGGCTAGTGTATCCTGCCGTGCCTAGTCATCTGAGAAATAGGCGAACAAACAGTGCAAGTCAAAATAAGGAACTTTATCATTGATGCTTAAAATTTTGAAATGTCTTCCCTGTGTCCGCCATTGCTGCAAATAGCTTGACATTTGCAGATGTGATGTATAGCATTTAGTCATATATTCCCTGTGTCCAGCGCAACACCTTTTGAAAGCATTAAGGGGCACTGAAACCTGATCAAAGGCGGATCTCTGAGAGAATGGCTGCCCAGTAGATTCCAAGCTAACACACAACGTTGTGGAAGGTTGTATGTTGGTAACGTCACAACGTTACAGCAACGTTACATGTATACGTTGTCAAAACGTTGTGCATCGACATGTAAATTCTTTCTTCACTATTCAGCTACAGCTTCGGAAAACACACGACCAAAACAACATTCAAATTAGCGAATAAACACTGAAGTGAATCTCTGCTTTGTTTCCCATGTACTGTTCACTGCTGGGAAAACTGTTCAACTATTAACATTAAATAGAACGTTTAGACAACGTAAAATACGTGAGTGAGTGAGTGACTGAAACAGGTCATACGTTAACAATAGTTAATATTAGAGTATAAAATCTGTCGACAAAGGACAGTTAAACAACTAGAATATCTCAATTTGAAATATTAAACCTATAGTCCAAGAGCCCGGGGATGATTTTTGTACCGAGAGAGGCCAAAATGTTTGAACGTGTATTCTGATGTAAAATTGCCGCACGAATCCAAAATTTCAGTCTTACAAATCAAAGCTGTGGCTTTAGCCCACTAGGGGGCGTTGAAGCGATGACTCAGCAATTTTTCAGGTAAACTGCTGCATCCATTTAAATGCCATTTCCCAACTACAAATACTCAGTATTTCACCCAAACTGGTTGCAATGTAAAGAAGAAAGATAAATGTGTAATTTCACAAAATAAAATGTTTAACAGTGTGGTATGTAGAGTAATGACATATTGTTTTTCTTCGTAGATTTACAATTTTTTGTCATTTTACCACCTGAAGTTCAGTGTTAGATAAAACACTAACCCTGAGTGACATATGCATTTTGTTGATATATTTGAATTCCTTACACATTTTTACATAATTAAAAGCCTTAAATACAGTCAGACCTCGTTAATACGAACACTTGAGTTTTAAAAAAACATAGTGAAACGTTCGTACTGCTGACCACAGTATATGCACCGAGTTACTTCCCTTGAACTTTCCTTACTATCGAGACTCTGAGGTCATAGATGTAAAATTATAATCCTACTATAAATATGGTTTATTTTTATAATGTTATTCAAAAACTATGGCGATGTACCAGTTATTATACCAGTTTCATTACACTGAACTTCAGGAGGTTGTTAGGTACCAGTTCTAACCAGCAACCTCAGGAGGATGTTGGTAAGAGACATATATTCACAACCTATGTGAGATCCGGGTTCGAATCATATTTCTGGAGTTTCCTGGTGTGATATTTTTAGTAGATTGCTAAAATCGGCAAAAACCATTCCCACCCACTCACTCACAACATACGGTACGTCTTTTAAGAATCAAATGTGAATAAATAAGACTCATTCCATTAAGAAATTCCAACAGGAGATGTATATTTATTATCAGGGATATATATTGAAAAAGTCTAATACATTTGCAGAATATATATTTAATGCATCATTTTTGTTTGGCAAAAGATGTAACGGTGATCTTTCGAAAATAGCATTGGAAAATACCACTTTGTTTTGTGATAAAAGGAATAAATAAATGGCAAGGAGTCTCAATGTGTTGAAAGGAAGATTAAGTTCATGTCCCAATCCTCTTCGGTAAACTCCATCCAAATGAATCGCTGACTGTTGATAGGTGATAAAAAAGCAAGGATTCTTAATGTGTTCCCTTCGGAAAATTGTGCTGTCCGGTGAAACACTTTCTAACCAAGGATCCTAGAGGCTTGGGGACACGATTGACAGAAGGATCGTCGTCAACGACAGCATGGAAGTTGATGACCCTGCATTCTTGCCAGAAGGACACTGAACTACAGATGTTGTAGTAGTTGTTGGTGCTTCTGTCGTAGTGTCTGGCTGGCAAGCTGATGACCCTGAAAAATAAAGCTTGAACCGTATAACGCCTCATTCAGTAATTCAGCTACATAGAAATGTGACTGTTTCAGTTCTATCCAAATGACAAGAGCCTTTAAATCTTAGTCTGATCAAGATAATCAAGTGATCGATATTTTGATAAACAATATAAGCCCTCGCAGTACAAGTCTGACCACCGATGTCCACAATGTCAACTTTAGTAACAAACAAATCCAATTGGAAGCCAAATCTAACGAGGAATTCACGTACGTGAAATGTACATGTAATGAAGTATAGGTGAAGAAAGTGTAAATGGGTGTTGGTGGGGGGAGTATTTTCCACGTACATATAACACAAAATACAGAATCACAACCCCAACAGTCAGTAGCCTCTTCGACGCCTTCTACGCCATTAATATCCTGTTGAGAATGTGGTTTCCAGGGCCCATATTTTCGAAGCTCTCTTAGCGCTAAGATACTCGTAGGTTAATGTTAATGTATGGCACTTACGACTATCTTAGTGCTAAGAGAGCTTCGAAAATCTAGGCCCAGGAAACTATGCTTGTCCCCAGATACGACTAACGGGACCGAGTGGTCAGGCTCAATGACGTGTGGTTGATACTTGCGACCGATGCTTATGATGTCGATCACTTTATTGCTTCATGTCCAGATTCGATCCTGTATATAGAACGACCACCGCCATATATCTTGAATACTGAAGAGGACCGCCTTGAACAACGCACAAACGGTTCATATATGAATATGTGGGATTTAAGTCTTGGTTTGTAATGCAACAAATTGTTAGCCACATGCGTTTACTGCTTGGTGTAACATTATAAGTTGTCACGATATTTATGTTCCCTTCGGATTCAGGGAACATAAACAAACATCGAGGGTACATCAGCCCATGTCCCCCTCGAGACCAGTGAACAACGTATTTATCTTACCGAACACATCGATGGTAATTTTGAACTGTAGAAGTACGGGTATCGGGATCATAGAATGGAGGACAAGACGGCAAGAAAAACAAATTTAGAGTTATCTCCCTTCCATCGATTTGCATTCGCAAAACATCGGTAATTTCCGTACATCATACGTGATTCCATGTTATTCGAGATAAAAATTACTACCACGAAGTACTAAATGAGTTCGGCATTCCCAGCGGGGTACCTAGAAAACGTTTCTCGCTTGTAAGCGGGGTACATTGAAAATAATAGAACAGCGCTTAGCCAATCAAAAAACGACATTTATGTGTGAGGCAAGTTAAACAACCATATGCACAGAGGTGACAGTCCGTGTGATCAGAACGAATGTTCACACTGATCAAGGGAAGCAAGATCGGTGACTCAATCAAATGCTTCACCAGCCCCATCCTAAACCAATTTTTGAATATCCGCATTACCATCATGCGGGTAAATTAATGTCCTAAATTTACTGAAAACAGCTTACTCCAGCTAAAAAGTTGAAATGTCATATTCACACATTGCAAACACGAGCCATCATGATCCATATGACTGTTTCTCGTGCTCATCTTCTGAAGAACCGGAAGGGAAGAGAATCAGAAACACATGCTGTTGAATACAAGTGTTGGTCAATTATTTTTAAAATGGTTCTTGTAATCGCTATATTACTCTGATCGAGGTTACTGTAATGCCGTCGAGAACTTAAGAGACTGACATAGCAGCTTTCCTGAAGTACAAAAGAAGTTTCAACAATGAAACGACCCTTTTCCCACAGGGGCTGGTGTGGTAGCCGATTGAAGTGTCCTTTGATTCATTTGAGTGAGCGTATGGCTGAATACACACGTTTCTTTTAACAGGATGGCGGTTTAAGATTCGTGAGATATAGAAAAATGTACTAACATCATTTAGCCTAGTTAAAGACATGCCTGCTGCGATTGGACAACTTTGTCACTATGCAATATACAAAAACAGGTATTTGACTCATCCAGGAGAATTTTTTGGCCATAATTTCAGTTGGGTGACATACAGGGTGGTCCAGTGAGTGAGATGATCAATGATGCATGTACATCACACGCTATCAACCACGTGACACAGACTGACCACCCTGTCCATTTAGTTGCCTCTGTGGAAACCGGTTCTAACCTGAGTACAAAATATCGTAAACGTTTATGGATTGACTTACCCAGCTTCCACGTCGCACTTTCAGTGGTAGTTAGTTGTAAATTGTAGAATGGTGGGTCGGAGTATATGCTATCCATCCTGGTGACAGGATAACTCGTAAGGGTATCGTTTCCAATGGTGCAGCCTTCTCCAAAATACATTTTGGCAGTAGTCTCTTTCAAACTTCTATTTATCCAGAATGTTTTATGTTCGGGGCAGTAGTCAGCTGTCGAGAAACGCACCGCCGTCTCTGTGCAAGAGTTCAGATAGCAGGCCAACGGCATGGACCCGTTGTCAATCCGTGAAAGCGCCACCTTGATGGAATTGGTCAAGTAAACATCGACCATAGTTATGTTTACTTGTCCGCATGACTTTACCTCGAGGAAGAAATGATCTGACTGGTTGTTCAAGAATAGGAGGGAGTGTGCTACAGACACCATCACGCCATTGCCGGTCTCCACCAACAGCCTTGTACACTTCTGTCTGGTGTAAAGGGAAAGATGAAAACTAGTTCAGTTACATATTGTTATACACTTGCCATATACTCTTTCTGGATATTGTATTGTAGTATAATATGTTGGATTGTCTTCTCTTCTTTTTAATTTATATGTATGAACACGTCGGCGTTATTTCTCGATACAGCATGTCTATTCTGCAAATGGCCTCACTTTCAAACAGAACTACGTATCTCATGTCGACTGTCATGTTATACTGCAGCAAAAGTCTTTGTGAAACGGTCTGCTGTTTTGGCTGTGTTCAGACTTGGAGTATACATACACAAAGGGACAGAGGCGCCCCTCTGTCAGCTCACATTTCATTATATAATGACCAGCATCCTGTGAAGATCGTTTTGTGCCGCTGGACATCCAACCATGAATTTTGAAACTTTCCCCTGTTTGTGCTAGGTGAATATTATTGTCAGTGACTTCTTTGCGTTATCCACCACTATAATATTTTGTGCTGCCAATGACTTTTGAAATGCCACTTCATTGTGTACTGCCATTGTAGTAAATTTGCAGAAAGTTTATGCAACCTAATTGTTTTACGGGTTTTTCTAGTAAACTTCTTGTTTTAAATTTGACATCGACAGTAAAGAAATTTGCTGGCTCGTCGGGGAACAAGGTAGACTATATAACAAAAGAATTTTATCAAAATTATAACATTCACCTTTCATTGCGTTATAGTGTAGGAGTCCCAAAACACTGATTTCCTGTAGATGAGTTTCTCATTGTATGGAACGGGTGTTTTGCTGTAAAATTCTGAGCTTGTCGAGTTTTTACCAAATATTTTGAGGTAATCTGAAAGTCGACGATTTGGATCACGTACCTGGTTAAGTCAAAATATTTTGGAGATGGCGATTTTAATTTGTTTTACGAATATCAGAAATAAAAAAAATTGGTACAGAAATTGGATCTGCTAAAAAGAAATTCGGCTTACAGAGATTGTATGGTGGTTGATTAGGGCTATTATCGCCCCGAGATGTCCACTTAATAGTATTATAGCATAACACCCGTGAAAGATATTTCTGGGGATTGGCCATACTTCTACAGAGCATGATTTTTATGAATCACTATGAAATAGTGATGAAATCAGTGTATTCGTGGTTAGACTCTGATTCAACAGTGAAATTTAGGAGTGATTTTCACCCCTGCCACGGCAGTATTCTATTTATTACAATATTGTAAATGTATTAGGTTTCTGCTTTTCAGACTGACTGACTGACTGAGTTTGGTTTTACGCCGCTTTCAGCAATATTCCAGCAACATCACGGCGGGGACACCAGAAATGGGCTTCACACATTCTACCCATGTGGGATTCGAACCCGGGTCTTCGGCGTGACGAGCCAACGCTTTAACCATTAGGCTACCCCACCGCCCCCTGCTTTTCAGATACAGTTAAAGTTCATGACAGTGTGTCTCACCAATAATGAGTTGTCAGGAATGCATTATCATTTAATGTAAGCAGTTGTGTGGAAGTTACTATAACGTGATGCTTTTAAGTCAGGTGTAGCCTATAATGTAGAAGAACAGACAGGGGCTAATCGAGCATGAACATACTTGAGACCATGGGCGTGGGTAAGCACATGCCTCCCTCTTTCTCTTCTCACATTACAGTTAGACCAGTGGCCATGTAATGATAACATTTTCACGCTGGGTCTCAAGTCGTGGCCTATTTTGGAAATGTGACCACTGTTGGTGAATATTAGTATCACTGACTTAATTGCTACCACCACCGTTATTGCTATTTGGTTTAATACTGCCACTGGAATTTAACAGCCATAAGAGGTCTGTCTGCATAGGAACATTTTCAGCGCATTTCTGACAGGCTCTCGAGCAATATGGGATAACTCTGTAACTCTTCAGCTATACATACACTAATTCTTACCTGATAAGACTGCAAACAGAAGCCCTAGTTTGGTATGATCATTGCGTCTCGTGCAAGTGTGTGTATTGTATGCATATACTGGGTTTTCCGTCACCTTTATGCTGTAAACCTGTTCGTCGGTACAAAAATTATCCTGACTTCAATCCATAAACTTAGATGAGATTTGTTTTGATCTCCCGGTGGGTCGTTTTAGAAGTTAGATAGTACGTGACACGTGACCTCATGATGGCTGCTAGAGCAATCATGACAAGTGATCGAGTGTTCTGATATGGCTTAGAAAGCACCCTGGGTATGACAGATGTACATCTACATGCTTTGAGAAGTTATAGATTTCAAATCTCATATTTACGTGTCAAGAAGCAATTGCCAGTATGTTTTATAGACCACTTACACGTTTGTCCATCAGCATTTTGTGAAACTTCAAATCAATGGGTGTTCTTTAGAGCTTTTCTGTTGTAAAGATAAGTATTCACATCTTTTATCGAGGAGTAAGCATGGGTCGCCATTTACCTGTCTTAAAAGAAGCTTGAGACAAAGCTTGTACTATCTCCCCTAAACTTACGGAATAGAAGCTACGTCTTTGCCTTACTGACAGCAAGTGTATGATAGGTGAAGACATACTAACATTTAGCCATCACTGGTTAAAATTACATGACTTTCCCTCTTCTCGTAGAGTGGAAACTAATTTCAGGCTTGAACATCACTGATTGGAAAGTAATACAATTTTCACCCATTAAACAATACATCAAGATTTTCAAATATAGTTGCGAGGCAACGACGAGGGCTCCTTGGCTTTAGTTCTATCTATTGTATCTGAGGGCTAGAAATCATCGTCCAAAACGGAGCCAGAACTCGTGTTGACAGGCGAGCGGATCTTCCAAGTACAGCCCCCGGGGTCGTGGGTGGTGGGGGTGGGTGGTCATTTAGCTTTTAAGAGTTCCGGAGAAGAAATAGTTCCCTCTTTAAAAGGCTGTATCTCAGTTGTTCTTTGGTCTACGGTCAAAACAAGTAGTGTTCTAAAATCACCAAGCATTCATCTACCACACTGGCACTTTTGTGCAGAATTTGCACATTTTGGGAACAAATTACTCAGAAAACTGTTGAAATACATGGTCAAAACTGAAAACAAACATAACTGCCAAACGGTACGTTTTAACGACTTGACCTGTCTAGGCAAAATTTTTGGGAATTCGATTGTGCATCCGTACAAGAGTTTTGGAAGTGTTGGAAAAATTAGTTCTTGAGATATTTGCTGTCAAACTTTTGAAATTTTGGAATTAATTTTGAATTATCTCCCCTTTGCTATTGGGCCTAGAGCCTAGAGATTTTTAAGGGGAATATCTACAGCTCAGTGCGCATCTGTGTGATTTTTTGTAAAACGATTCGGGCTTTTAGTTTAGAATTATTTATGGTTCAAAATCGGCGGAAATAATAATTAACAATAATAATAATCCGAACGATTACAATAGGTCTCCTGCCTAGAGGCAAGGAACCCTAATAAACGTGACAGAGTCATTTGAATATTTAAATGAAATCTCGGCTAAAAGCAGAGTCGATAATACGATTCTGACAAATAACGAGCACATGTTTATGAAGCACTGTTAAATGGTTTTGACACCAGGTGATCGCGATAAGTGTTTAGCGTATCCTGCAGTGCCTAGTCACTTAGATGAACAAACAGTTCAAGTCAAAACAAGGACCTTTGTCACTGATGCTTTAAATCTGAAAATATTTTCCCTGTGTCCGCCATCGCTAAGAATAGCTGGAAATTTGCAGATGTCATGGACGATTGCAGATGTCATGGAAAATTGCAGATGTGATGTATAACAATCATTTATATATTCCCTATGTCCACCACAAAGCCTTTTGAAAATTTTACAGAGGCATTGAAACCTGATCAAATACATATGATTAAACACATGTCATCGGCTCACCAGAATCAAAGTATCACAAGATATGAAGCAGGGGAGCGTGTAACATACATATGCACTCTGACAATATCACCCCTGTCGTTCCTTTTGCGCGTTTGGTTTGCATGTGGTGATTTGTGCCACATGGTGATCACGATGTATGAACTTTTGGTCACTTTGGTCTGAGAGAACAAAGGCGGATAGTTAGAGACAACCAATGGCTGCCCAGTAGATTCCCAGCTAACACACACGTTGCGGGAAGGTTGTATGTTAGTAACGCCACGCCACAACATTGCCACAATTAGTATTAAGTCATTTTATAACGTTATTTCACAACGTTACATATATACATTGTCAAAACGTTGTGTATCGATATGTAACTTGATGTCACGATAGAGTTTTCTGTAAAACTTGTTACTTTGAGCTTCTTTCTTCATTATTTAGCTGCAAGCTTCAGAAGACACGACCAAAACAACATGCAAATTGACGAATAATCATTGATGTGAATTTCTGCTTTGTTTCGTATGCACTGTTCAACATTTAGACAACGTAAAAACGTTAGCATCAAACAACTTTAACATTGTGACGACATGAAAATGACAACGTTGTGACAGCGTTGTTATTTTTTAGCTGGGTTCCTTTAACCTTCCTTCGTCACATCATCAGTTTGGACTGTTCATTCCGCAGGGGAGTTGAGAATGAAACCGTGTGCCCACTCTTTCATTGGTAAGAGTTGTGATGGTTTAGAGCCTTGAGCATTCTCTTGGTGAAGGGAACCTAGTGCATTATTATTGAACTGTGTTATCATAGTGTTTGTTTGTTTTGTTGTTCTGTGCTGAAAAAGCAACATTCACGTTATGTGGTTTGCGTAAATGTGCTTCTGGGCCAAACAATCTAGTGATTTATTTTAAGGTCTTTGAACCAATTAAAGGTGAGGATCCTCCGTTTTTGTATCCCTTGTGATGAAATAATCACGGTCAAGCATGTCTTGCTTGACTCTGTTGAATATTCCATCACAAGGGATATCTATTTCAAATCACGAACTATGAAGGATCTTTTTTTTTTTTTTTTAATAATGTAAGTTCTCATTTAATTATTGCATTTGTTAACTGATTTGTAAAATAGATAAATATTTTATGTTTGGAAGTTTAAATTAATAACTCAGATTGTTAGTGGCTGTACCCTCAAGGGGGTTGAAGTATTGTAAATTCATTGTCCTCCTGAGAGGGTACCTAAGTCCCCAACTTGTCAAAGTCAATTTAAACTTACCAGGATTTTAAACGTAGTATTCTTGTTATTTTAAATTTGGATAACATTTCTTACAATCGCCAGCAGCTGAAGGGATGGGGTAAATGCATCAAGGTAGCAAAGGTAACGTAAGTCCCCATGATCCATAGTATGGTGATCTACCTTCAATTGTTGGCAATATATAGCCTGTTTTTATATTGTATCGTCATCTATAGTTAAACTGTTTTAGATTTAATTGCTAGTTTTAAATTCGAATCTGTGATAATCTAGTTATTTTACTGTCCTTCGTTGACAGGTTTTACAACTAACCATTAATTACTATGTATAAAATTAATTGTTCTCGTCACGATATGGCTGAAATATTGCCGGTGTGACGATAAATGTTAACTTAACTTAAGGTCTTTGAAGTGAATCTGACCAGTGATTCAGACCTCCCCGCACGACAGATATAGGTTGCTAGAAGCTAAGCTAAGCTGTTTGTTCTAGCTATCGGTATGCGGGGACCTGATGGAAGAAATTCAAAATCGTAAAACGAATGTGAGCTGTCGTTTACATATTCCGCACTATTTATTAATGATTTGCTGCTCGTAAAGTAG